GGTGTTCTGTTCACTCATTTGGCTATTTTCGTTGGTTTCACCAGAATAGGGGTTTGTTATGAGGCGCTTACCTTTCTGGGTGCCTGTCCCGGTCGATGGCAGATATATAATGCTCCAAAATCACATGTGCATTTCTATAGGCCATTGCTCCTCGTGCCTCTCTGAGGGGGCCAGGTTCTGGCTCGTAGTCCTCGGTAGGCCTAGAACTCCACCCACATCGATTGATGCCAAAGTTAGGAATATCCATATCAGCCCGAAAAGCTGGATAGCTCCAGGGGAGCCATAGGGGTTCCCCCCCAGAAAACACCATTTTCTGGGTGAGCCCCAGAGACTCTTTTCCCCCCAGAAAATACCATTTTCTGGGTGAGCCCCAGAAGCTCTCTCCCTCCCAGAAAACACCATTTTCTGGGTGAGCCCCAGAGGCTCTCTCCCCCCCAGAAAACACCATTTTCTGGGTGAGCCCCAGAGGCTCTCTGAATCTATCAAACTGACATGTGCCATATTAGTTTGGTACCATCAGTCCTTGGAGTCTGAGTTCCTACTGGGGGCCACGAGCCAGAGCCTGGCCCCCCTCAGAGAGGCAAAGACAGTAATGCCATATGAGCTCTCTATATTTAGAGTTAGTCATGTGTGCCATCTACTGGGGCATACCTCCAGAAAGGTAGATGAACCATTACAAACCTTTAACTGATTAAAATTGCAACCAACGTCCAAACAGAGCCAAAGAACTCCCACAATAGAAAACAATGAAACAAGCAGCACGTCATCCTACTAGAGCACCCACTCATTAGCACCTTACCCTCCGCCGACAGGAAAGAGGGGGAACCCAGCTCAGGCGAGCAAGCACCACCACCCTCAGTTCGGAGAATGATGAAAAACCGCCGAGCAGAGGGAGAGGGTGTCAGGGAGCCTCACCCAGTAAATGGTGTTTCATTACATTCAATACAGTACAACCTCGAATCAATGTACACTGATTCAACGAATCTCCGGCTAGTTCGCACACTTTTCAGGCCGAATTTACTCACCCGGTTCGACGAACAATGGTTCGCCGAAGCGGGGATGTTCGGATTTGCTTACGATGTCCAGACAGAGTTCACAGACTGGTGGAAAACTTTCTCATTCTATCACAGATTACAATTAATAACGCTATCATATGACAAGTTGGATCACACAAGTGGATCACACAAGTGGACCACACATGTGGACCACAAGTGGTCCACAAGCTTATGATTTTGGGACAGAGTTCACAGAGTGGTGGAAAACTTTCTCATTCTATTACAGATTACAATTAATAATTCCTTCATAAGACAAGTTGGATCACACAAGTGAACCATATGAACCAAACACCAGCCACACTGAGTTTCCATGATTTTCGTTCACTGATTTGGGGCACACGTATTTTTGTACATTAATTTAAAGGATGAAGCATGATTACCTAGCTACATGTGGTAAAATCTCCTTATAAACATTTTCTGTAATGAAACAAGATGAGTGAGGGTGGACAGATAAGAGAATACTGTACTGTAAACCTCACTTTACAGTGAGGTTTCACTCACTTTCGTCTGTGTCGTCATAGTTCAGTGACCCATGACTTTTGGAAGTTTCATATTAATAAATAATTTCTAAAACCAGTGTTTTAATAGCTTTTTATTATCCTAATTAAACTAAACTAAATAAAACCGAAAATATGCTGTAACATGATAGACATCTGCTCTTTGAGAAATTACTGTATGTTATTGGAACAACTCCAGCGCGAGTGGACGGGTCTAATCCCTGTACACACAACACCATGCGTCTTTCATCCCTCCCTCCCTCCCTCTCTCCATCCTTCCCTCTCTCCCTCCCTCTCTCCCTCCCTCCCTCCCTCTCTCCATCCCACCCTCTCTCCATGCCTCCCTCCCTGTCTCCATCCCTCTCTCTCTCCATCCCTGTCTCCAGCCCGCCCTCCCTCTCTCTCTCCATCCCTCCCTCTCTCTCCATCCCTCCCTCCCTCTCTCCAGCCCACCCTCCCTCTCTCCAGCCCTGCCTTCCTCCCTCTCTCTCCATCCCCCCTCCCTCCCTTGCTCTCTCCCTCCCTCCCTCTCTCCATCCATCCTTCCCTCCCTCCCTCCCTCTCTCCATCCATCCTTCCCTCCCTCCCTCCCTCTCTCCATCCCTCCCTCTCTCCATCCATCCTTCCCTCCCTCCCTCCCTCTCTCCCTCCCTCTCTCCCTCCCTCCCTCCCTCTCTCCCTCCCTCCCCTCTCTCCCTCCCTCCCTCTCTCCTTCCCTCCCTCTCCCCCTCCCTCCCTCCCTCTCTCCATCCATCCCCTTTCTCCCTCCATCCATCCAGAATTGAAGAAACAAACCAAGTTAAGAAACAAACCAAGTTAAGACTCGTTAACTGGGTCAACGAGTTAGGGATATCAGCGAGGAGGTCCCTTCACCACCACCGACACACCTCCCCCCACCACCCCTACAGCCCATACACACACACACTGCTCAACTCAACCTCCATACCTCCCTCAAATCATCCATCCTTCCATCCATCCCTCCCTCCATCCTTCCATCAATCCATCTCCATCCTCTCCTTCCCTGGCTCCCTCCCAGCCTCTGCCTGCCTGCCTCCCTCCCTGCCTCCCTCCCAGCCTCTGCCTGCCTGCCTGCCTCCCTCCCTCCCTCCCTGGCTCCCTCCCAGCCCCTGCCTGCCTGCCTCCCTCCCTCCCTCCCAGGCTCTGCCTGCCTCCCTCCCTCCCTCCCAGGCTCTGCCTGCCTGCCTGCCTGCCTGCCTCCCTCCCTCCCAGCCTCTGCCTGCCTGCCTCCCTCCCAGCCTCTGCCTGCCTGCCTGCCTTTCTCCCAGCCTTCCTCCCTGGCTCCCTCCCAGCCTCCCTCCCAGCCTCTGCCTGCCTCCCTCCCGGCCTCTGCCTGCCTCCCTCCCTGGCTTCCTCCCAGCCTCTGCCTGCCTGCCTGTCTCCCTCCGTGCCTGCCTCTCCCTCCCAAGCTCTGCCTGCCTGCCTCCCTCCCAAGCTCTGCCTGCCTGCCTCCCTCCCCTCCTTGCCTGCCTTCTTCCCTGCCTGCCTCCTTCCCTGCCTGCCTGCCTCCCTGCCTGCCTGCCTGCCCATCCACCCACCAGTCAGCCATCACTGATACAATGAGTGTATTTGGAGCCAACATGGTGCACGGATGTTCCTTGATTGTGCAGTCACGGAATGAACGCTCCAGCCTCTTGACAAATCGAAATATAGTGTTAAAGTTGCAGTAATTTTAGTGTACAATAGTTACTCAACATACAGCTGAACTACTCAACACAGTGTTAATGGCATAATACACTACAGTATGTATTTACTGTACAGCATTCATAACTCCATGAGACTTCAAGATGAACTTAACTCCAACAATAAGGTAAATAACAAATGTAACACAGTATTTGTTACTAGAGTAATAATATATAGGTACAGTATATAATATGATAATGCATTTTTATTGTCTACAAGAAAAATAAAGACACTGATGCAAACGCCTCCTGAAGGTCACCCCTTGCAACGAATCCAACGCTCCAACGAACTGGGGTCAGTTCCATATAGTACGTTGAATCGAGGTTGTACTGTACTGGTGTTTTGAGGGGAGCCCCGTTGGCTCCGTAAAGCTATCTACCCACAGATAAGTAAAAACAGGGACTTACCCGGGAGTAAGTCCTGTGAAAGTCTTGTTCCTGTGTTCCAATGGTTTTCTGGTTCCCTATTTATTTATTTTAATTTCTTATTTTGTTTCAACTGATTTTCCACATTTAACACACATTTTAAACATGCTTTTCCATCTCATAATATACTTCAAATAGTCTCTTTTGACAATAATAAGTACTGTAGTTGTTTACATATTTTAGAGAATGTCATTCCTTCACTATGTTTATTATACTTTGCTGAGCTGGTGGGAGATTTGAAAGGTGGCTCTCCAGAAAGGTCCTTTTCTCACAGTAGTGATTTTGATTTTTTCGGCCCTGGTGGGCAGTTCTTCGTCTGTAACTTTTCTGGTGAAGAGTGAGATGGTAGGTTTCCAAAGGGATCCTTTGGTTATTAATTCATGGTTTGTTCAGTTCGGGGTGTATAATTTGTTCTGTCAGGTGGCTGGTGTTTGTCACTACCTGCAGTTTGACCAAGGCTGCTTTGGGAATACTTTGTTGATCTAGTCCCCTTGGTCTTCTATTCCAAGTCTTGTTTGTCTCAGGTTAACAGAGGTGCCATAAAGTCTAGCCATCCTGTGGTCTACCACCAGGCTCATGACGTTCAAAAGTTTGTAGCTTTGATTGCTGTTTCTTCTAACATGTCTTGGACTGAGATCTGGACTTAGAGGTTTTGGAGGTATCACAGGATCCTGGTGGCTTGTTACCTAGTCAGTGTTCCTCATCCCCACTGGATTAGTGTTGCCCTGGGTAAGTAGGGTTTCTTGTCCTGTTGTTTCCCCTTGAGATTTGATCTGTGGTTAGTTAGCTACAATGGGCCACTGTTTGGCCCCTCCAGAAAACACACGTTGAATGTAATGAAATGCCTCTTTCTAGGGTGACATCGGTCCATCACTGGACCTTCCCTCTCTGTCATAATGTCATTAAGGACATTGTCAAAAATACAATCCATTAATTCGAGCCGGTCGGCCGAGCGGACAGCACGCGGGACTTGTGATCCTTTGGTCCTGGGTTCAATCCCAGGCGCTGGCGAGAAACAATGGGCAAAGTTTCTTTCACCCTATGCCCCTGTTACCTAGCAGTAAAATAGGTACCTGGGAGTTAGTCAGCTGTCACGGGCTGCTTCCTGGGGGTGGAGGCCTGGTCAAGGACCGGGCCGCGGGGACACTAAAGCCCCGAAATCATCTCAAGATAACCTCAAGATAATAATCAGTTACTCAGCTTTAAGAATGTAAATCACGCAGCCAACAAAATAGTAACCTGTGATACGTGAGCTATGAGTTCCAGGACTATACACTGGCCATTTATCATAATTGTATAATAAAATAACCATGAGTAGAGATAGAAATTAAGAAACCATACCATTATTGAAATCAATGTAGCTACGAGGGTGATGAACGGTGATATAGAAGGAAGAATGGCATGATCAAATTCTTGAACTAATCCACCCGTCATGGCTGCTCTTCCCGTTGATGATATCCAACCAAGCTTTCTACCTGTGGGAATACAAGCTTTAAGTGAATGTACAATATTGTTTTTGCATTTTAACAGGAAGCTATTAGAGTGCGTAACATTTATTTTTTCCTAGGTAGTAGGTGTTATTTAATAATTGCTTATGCACAAAAAGTATAGAAAATGGCATTGAAACTGAAATAAGATTATTGAGGTATAAAATACAGAGAGAGAGAGAGATGAGGTAGCTCCAGCTGTTCTCACCCTGTACTATACTGACTGTACAGCAGACAGTACGTGGTCATATATATTTACACACGTCACAATCTGAAAATTACTGAACATTCTGGTTGATTAACATACATTTCTTCCTGTACACATGCAGCATGATGCCAAACATACACACACAAATACCTTTATGGCTAAATTCAGAGATGAGTAACAATTAGTCTACAAATAGACAAATAGACACCCTCATCAGAAAAACTAGACACGAAGAGCAGAAAAGTATGTCGAATCAGAGAGGTACCTCACTGACCCAACTTGCTGGAAGAGACGGAGCTGCGGAAAGACCCCAGGGTTTGGACATCGAGAAAGCAGCGCTTGAAACCAAGGCTGGGCCGACCACCATGGGGCCAGGAGAAGCACCCTCCTGTGATAGGATTCGAGCTGAGCCACAACCCGAAGCAACAGCTGGACCAGGGATAAAGGTACAGAAACGTCTGCTAGGATGTGGACACACACTAAATATGGATGGCATGGAGAGCTAAACCCCGAGAATTCAGCAGAATAGCTACCCGAAGAGACCAGCCCAAAAGAGCCATGGACAGCAGAGACCTCTATCCCTGGTTGGGACAATGAACCACAGGGAGAGCAGTCTGATATAAACTGGATCAAAGAGCCCCGAGGAAGCCAAATCCACACAATCCAAATCCAGAAACCGAGCCAGCTACTCCCATACCGTGCTGTGAGCCCGATGGAAGGACGGAGCCCAACAACCCAGGCCTGCCTGGTGAGTGCTGGTCACAAAGCCAGCTGAGAGACAGGGCATTTGTGAACACATCAATTGCATAAAGGGGATGGCGCCATGGTACCGAACCCTGAAAAACCCAAAGAGGAAGCCAGCGACACAGCAACTGATTGACATAAGGACAGCGGGGAGTGAACCCAATGGTCGTGAGAGAGGCAAAAGAGGTTGCCCCAAAGATACCAGAACAGCTTCCAAAGCCAAACCCTGCCCAGTGGATAAACTAGCATGCAAAGTTCCAGCTCCCGCACAACTGCTCGAGCAACTACTGAGTGACCTGGGTCCCCCTCAAAAACAGTGGAAGGTGGGACTGCAACCAGAGCAAAGCTGCAGGAGGGAAGGAGACGGATACAGTCCACAAATCCCACACAAGGCCCAGCCAGCCAAGTTCGAACCTGAGATGGAACCAACCAGGACTTTTGGCAATTCACCACAAACCGGAACCCGGCAAGCTGGGAAGGAACCAGATCCCTGGCTAGCAGACACGCTTACCACCTGAGAGCCCACACCAACTAGTCGTCGAGGTAGGCCAGAACCCGAAGACATAGCAGACGCAGATGGGCCAAGACGACCTCGCGTGAAAATGCGAGGTGCCATATTCAGACCGAATGGAAGGCAACAAAAGCAGTAAATCTGTCACCTGACCATGAAACCCAACCAATCCCTGAACCCCGGATGAAGTGGAACGTGCCAGTAAGTGTCCTTGAGGTCCAGAGAAATCATCCAAGCGCCCCATTCGAGAAAAGGTGGGACCAAGCATGCAACCTAATCATCTGAAAGGAGGGGCAAGAAACCAACCAACTTTGATGACCAAACAGAGAGACAGGGAAGAAGCCTGCCCTACCAGCCCCAAACCTCCTACAGGAGGAGTCACTGCCTAACGCCACCAAAGGCCTGAAGAGATGACTCGAAAAGCCCATGAATTGTGGGACCAAGTGTTGGCAAACAGAGCCAGCCACCCTCCCCCATCACCCCATCAATGGGGTGACTTGTGAAAGAGCTGACGTGACCTCTGAGAAGCCGACTTCCGCACAGAGTGACCACCGTGCCGACCAGACGAACAAGGCCCTAGAAGACACACCAGCTCCAAAACTGGCACCAAAGGCTTACCTCGACCTACTGAAATCCAAGCCCTTGCAAGTCCACCTCTAGAGGACTGAGAATGGTTCCCCTACACCCACCTAGGAAGGAAGCAAGGGCACGGAGTGAACCACTGTTGAAATAACCAACACCCCCAAATCATGGTCCCTAAAACCCAAGCAAGGCAGCTTCAGGGCTTCCAAACGAGCAACCATCCCGGCTCATTGCAACAATGACACACTAGCATGCAACTTATCCACTGCCTGACCCCTAACATCCTTAGACAAGAAATGGGTAAACTAAATGGCAAGCGGGAACATATCCCGCAAGACCTACGACCGACCCAACAGGCAGCATGACGGAGGCAGGACAGGTGATTGTCATTGCGAGGCAGGGGCAACAAACAACCTTCAGCATTACACAAAGCGAGACAGGGTTCGGAAGATGCCTCCATGGTACCCCCCATGAGCCCAATGGGGTTTTCCAGGGTCCGTAGGCTATGTTAGCGCTATGAGAAGCCTCCTATTTTAGTAGTACTTAAAGTAACAATGAGGGTTATAGTACATATACTGACATACAATGCAATTAGGAAGTAGAAATCAGTACTTGTTGTATTTGGACAAACCAGAAAAGATTTTCTATGTTGGAATGGCAAACTAAACTAACCTAACCTTCCTAGGCCTAATACAAAATATCTGAGGCCTAATATAGTACATATGTGTGCTATACTAGGCCTAGGATTATTTAAGTTTTTTCTAGCTTCTAATTGCTTAATACATCAATGTTTGTACTATGTTGCACATAGTTACACAAAACCAGCATTGAATGTAATGAAATGCCACTTTCTGGGTGATTCCTGGAAGCTCCCTGGAGCTTACTGGACTGATATGCAAGTATTAGACCGTGGCAACAGTCCATCGAATGGAGTTCTAATGCTTACCGGGGACCACAAGCCAGAACCTGGTCCCCCTCAGAGAGGCACGAGGACCAATGGCCTACAAAAACTCCCATGTGGTTAGAAGCATTCTATGTCTGCCATCGACTGGGTTAGGCACCCAGAAAGGTAGGCATCCCATAACAGACCCCAACTGGTAAAACATTGCTACCAAAAGCCAAACTGCTAAGCAGAACGCCCCAATCTGAAAACCAGCATTATGTCACATCCGCCGCCATGCCGCCTGTCTGCGCAGTTCCCTCCTCCCTGGAAGGGGAACGGGAGTCCCTAGACTCTCTGCACCGGCTATCCAACCTCAGTTCTGAGGCTGAATGTCAAAAACTCAAAACCGCCGACCGGAGGGAGGGAGGGTTGCCGGGGAGCCTCTGGAACTCACCCAGAAAATGGAGTTTCATTACATTCAACGCTGGTTTTCTGTGGAGAACCCCTTCGGCTCCCTATAGCTACCTAACCAAAGACAAGTAAAAGAGGGATGTACCCGGGAAGCGTTTGCCACTCCTGTCTCAACTCGAAGTCAAGACAATGGGCTGCAACCGACTAGGGCTAGGAACAAAAACGAGGGAGTGGGTGGCCAGGACCCTGGTCGACCACCAAAATCTCCATGCTCGAATGTCAGCCCAAGATAAAGTACCAAAAAACCAGCGTTGAAGGTAATGAAACGCCATTTTCTGGTTGAGCCCCGGAGGCTCCCTGAAGCTTATCGGGCTAATATGTGTTTTTATATTAGACCGGGACATTAGCTATGGCATTCAGACCTACCAGGGACCATGACCCAGAACCTGGCCCCTTCAGAGAGGTTTCAGGGAGAAATGACCCTGGAAACGCTCCCCCCCCCCCCCCCGTGGTTGGGGTTTTCCTTATCTGCCATCGACCGGGGTTAGGCACCCAGAAAGGTAGGTATAACAAAACAAACCCCACATGGTAAGAAACTTAAGCAAAAACCGAACAGATAGGTAGAACTCCCTTCAATCCAAGGAAACAAGCAAATGTCACACTCTACTGCCGCACCGCTCGTCCTCGCAGCCCTACCCTCCCCAAGAGGGTAGGGAGGCCCCCGGACCTCACCACGCCTGCTGCATATAACTCCAGTTTGGAAGCTAAGCTTCAACCAACGCAAAAAATTGCTGATCGGTGGGAGGGAGGGTTGCCAGGGAGCCTCCGGAGCTCACCCAGAAAATGGTGTTTTACTACATTCAATGCTGGTTTTCTGAAGGGAGCCCCTACGGCTCCCTGGAGCTACATACCCAAAGAGAAGCAAAAGAGGGGCTTATCTGGGAGGGGGCTGCCACGAACTCCTTAACGGAAAGTCAAGACAACTGGCTGACACCTGCGACCCAAAGCAACACAAGAATGCCAGGAGCAGACACGTTCACCAAATAACAGGCGGCCAGGACTCTGTTCAACCTACAAAATCCCCGTACCTGAATATTAGCAAAAGACTTGTTACCAAACACGGCAGCTAAAGCTGCAAACTTCCAAACGTCATGGGCGCAAGGATAGACCATAGCTAGACTTACGCAGGCTGGCTAGACTTAATAACCCTGTGGACGACCTGGAAGACCCTGAGCCCTGGAACAAGGAACGAGGGAAACCGGATCAACCCAAAGCGCATCCCCAGACACGACAGCCGAGGTGTGTAGGTAATGGCGAAGAGCCGCAACTGGACACAACACATGATGCACCCCCGGCCAAACCAACCAAGCATGAATAACCCAAGGACCCCACCGGAAAGCAGCCATCTCGTTCTTCGCCAGAAAAGATGGAGAAGGCTGAAAATGTATAAACCTAACACCAGGACCAAAAGAACAGAAACCCCTGTGCCGGAGGAGAGCATGAAGCTCCTCGACCCGACCCCCCAGAGGCCAATGCCAACAAAAACAGGGCCTTGGAAAAAATCTTGAACTGAAGGGGCTACCACAAGCCGAGGAGAGGAAAGATAACAGAGCACCCTGTCCAAGGACCAGGCGGCGCATGAGCAGGCC